ATGGAGCACTCTGTATTGACTGACTCACTGAAATGAATGAAGTGGCTTCCCAAAGCTGTTTGAGAGTTTAGGAATGTGTTTGTTTAGTGCCTCAGTTTGCTCTGTTATAAGGCTGTGTTAGTAAATGTGACAAATACAATGGATGTAGCGTTTTGTAATGCTGTACCGCTACTTGTTGTATAAACTAGCTTTTACTGGAACATCTGTGCTCAATGCTGTCACGCTACTGAAAAATGCAGTTAAGTTAGTAGCTTCTCTGCTTATAGTTAGTTATTCCCCAATGCTGGCCTGGTTTCCCACTCGTCAACTGAAATATTAATGGAAATCACAAGTGCCAAAATGGGAAGCATGAAATTTTCAGCCATTTCCTGTTCTCCTCATGAAGCATGCAGGAAGGATGTGTGTCCTGATCCTCTACTTGTGCTTGAGAACGAGAGAGCTGGATGTTCAGTAACACAAGATGTTTCTGAAGAAGTTTTCCTGCTCCAGACATAAGGAACAGATCTGATCCTGGACCTGCTGTTAATAGTAATGTTGTAACAGGTTGAGTGGTTTGCATATGGTGCGGTGGTTGAACACTGATTTTAGGTCTGGCTGCCAGTGTTTTTGTAGCTGTCGTCTTCGAGAAATCCTGTGGTGTGGTATTAAATCTTCTCTGTCTCGCTCTTTATTTTTCTCGCTTTGTATAGTTTTTTTTTTTTTTTTTTAGCACGTCACTGTTAATTATAATGGAATGTTGGCTGCACTCTTACGGTTACTTGAAATGATCCTCGAAAAAATATTTTTCGTTGCCCCAATAAACCACAAACACGTGGGTTGCATACCAATCTAAATACCCGCAAGGCATGGTTGTGGGAATTGGAGACTGCATTTGCCAATTGGAGGTAAATTCCTGCTTAAAGGAATATTCCCAGGATCTCAATAGGTGTGGAAAACCTGGAAATGTCAGTGATTTTAAAATTGTGTTTTGGAAAAATCAACAAAAAATTTTGTCCATTCCTATTTTGTGGAATCTCTTGAAAAAGATGATTATCCAGTGATCACAAATGATGGGATTTCTTTTGATTTCATGGAATTCATGAGCAACTTTTTAACTTCAAAGCCTCACATTGTCTTCAAGAATATTCAAAGGCCCTAAGACTTTTTACAAGACAGTGGGGATTCTGGTGGTTCTTCTTTTTTAGTAGTTTTAGCAAGTAAATTCCTGCTTAAAGGAATATTCCCAGGATCTCAATAGGTGTGGAAAACCTGGAAATGTCAGTGATTTTAAAATTGTGCTTTGGAAAAATCAACAAAAATTTTTGTCCATTCCTATTTTGTGGAATCTCTTGAAAAAGATGATTATCCAGTGATCACAAATGATGGGATTTCTTTTGATTTCATGGAATTCATGAGCAACTTTTTAACTTCAAAGCCTCACATTGTCTTCAATAATATTCAAAGGCCCTAAGACTTTTTACAAGACAGTGGGGATTCTGGTGGTTCTTCTTTTTTAGTAGTTTTAGCATATTGTATTGGTTGTCCTATTTTAAATAATTTTGTCACCTTGTGGCCCCTTGGAAGTTTGCTGAGGTCCCCTAGTGGACCCAGAAACACTGCTCTAAAGGTGTGTTCTTATTCAAATGAATGTCTTTTGACTACATTTGTGGCATGCCTCAGAAACTGTTTAGACTTGTACCTCAATTCGTAAAATAAATTAAAGAAACCAAGTGTTGATAAAATTGACTTACAATAGACATCAATGGATGAAGCGTTGGCCCATAAATGTCCATTTTAATCCTTAACTGTCAGCGTGTTTTCAGTATGTTTTTACAAACTCTGCTGCTGAACTTGAATTTAACTAGCAACATTCCTTTAAAGATATGGCACGACTAGGTCCATGTCAAATCTGTGCCTGCAGAAAGTCCTGCAGATGTTTTTTATGTTGCACTTTGCATGTCCATAATTATTAAATTTTTGAATTCCATAATACTTTCAGCTACTCAGAAAAGTGTAGTACACACATTTTACCTAAGAAAATCATTTACCATTACCATAACATTACCAAATCTGTCATCATTTACTCACCTTCAAGTTGTTTCAAAGGCAAGATTTTTTTTTTCTTCTGTTAAACATAAGATATTTTGAAGAATGGTGGATAACCAAACAGTTGCCGATCCCCATTGACTTCCATAGTATGGAGTTTAATAGGGACCAGAAACTGTTTGGCTACTAACATTCTCCAAAATATCTTCTTTTGTATTTCGCTGAAGAAAGAAATGCATACAGGTTTAGAACAAAACATTACCAAATCTGTCATCATTTACTCACCTTCAAGTTGTTTCAAAGGCAAGATTTTTTTTTTCTTCTGTTAAACATAAGATATTTTGAAGAATGGTGGATAACCAAACAGTTGCCGATCCCCATTGACTTCCATAGTATGGACAAATTACTATGGAGTTTAATAGGGACCAGAAACTGTTTGGCTACTAACATTCTCCAAAATATCTTCTTCTGTATTTCGCTGAAGAAAGAAATGCATACAGGTTTAGAACAGTTTTGGAATTTAAATTTTTGGGTAAACTATCCCTTTAAATTCATTATGCAAAATTTCCGCTCAAAATCAGCGCAGAAAATACAGAAAAAGACTGCAGACTCTGTTTAGACCTGACAGTTTTTTGGGTAGCCAACGCTACGCCCGAACACCCTCAGCTCTGTTTGGAGTTGTTTGTGGGTGTGAGGTCAGTGTATGAGCTGTGGTTGGATGGTATGGGGGAATTTATTCGATACAGACCGTAGTGTTTTGCCTGCACATCTTCCTCTACACATTCCAGACACATTCTGTTGTACCCCTCAGTGCCACAGGCTTTTGTGTGATGAGGACTCTCATTGTCCCTGTGCGTACATTTGTGTGGTTGAGTCTCTGTAGAAGAAAGAAAGGACAGAGAAGAGGAAAGTTGCTATGCATTGTGGACCAATTGGACTTGAACATTGTGGGTTCTCCAAATCATAACTGACCGAATGTCTTATGGTGGCATTGTTTCATCTAGTTTTGTCAATTTTGATCATGTGACACTGAAGACCAGAGTAATGGCTACCGAAAATTCAGCTTTGTTATCACAGGAATAAATGACATTTTTAAATAAATGAAAAATAGTTCACAATATATACCCCTTTTTTTTTCCTTTTTTTTTTTATACTTTTGAACAGATTTTCAGTTCTCAAATGCATCTCCAGTCACTGTTTATGATCAGATTTTCTTGTGAAAGATCTTTTAAATGGTTTTTATTTTGAAGTTTAAACTTTTTTTGAGCGGTTGGGTCATGATGCACCTAACAAGACTCATCAGATCAAGTTTACACGTGTATTTAGCTCAGCTTGTGCTTGTGATCAGCTCAACTGAGACGGATGTTCCCAGTATAAAAATCCTGTAGGATTATAAAGGAGTTCCTTAAGTAAATATTACCATTGTGATTTTGTACTTTCCTGAACCGTTCCCACATTAACATATCAGACATAATCGCTGTTTTGATGGATGTGGCTTTCCCAGACCTGTGTGTATCCGGTGGGCACGTGGAGACTTGTTTTTTGTCTGAGCAAAGCCGCAGTTTAAGTTCACACAGAGGCTGGTGGACAGTGATACAGTGTTTGGCAGCACAGCAATACCAAGAGTATAAAACCAAGTGCACTCATCTGTGTCCAGTCAAACCTTTTAATCATACGCTCTGTGTGTATGTGTTTTTGGTTGGTTGAGCAGTGAAGCCCCTGTTGCGCTTTCATATTTTGCCAAGATGTCCTAAAGGCGTCTCTAAGAGCATTAAAGGCTTTTTTTTCACTGTACACCGCACGCATAGAAATCACGTACGACAAGCCGTTTTCACAAATATCAAGTATCAAGCGTCACGTTTTGCACGTATATAAGAGAGACACTCATAACAGACTAAGGCTGATCCTAGGTGGTTTTAAGTAGCTGGTCAACCAACTGAAGGTCAATTTGATTGGGTGTTGTCAGGGTGGTCTGGTTTATCTGGTTAACTGTGTTCTAGAAAAACAACTTGAAAAAAGCTAGATGACCTGCTTAACCAATTTTGAGCTAATTTGACCTGGTTTTGTTGAAAGTAAAGCTTGGCAGTATTTTGAATGTTTACAATATGTTTAATATTATTTTGTTGCTGATCTAAAATTATCATTGTGAATATCACAATAATTGTAATGCTATTTTTATTTGACTATTACGTTTCCTAAAGACAGTAGCCAGTAGGTCTTTAGAATGGTTAGATTCAGTGATTCATCCTCACTCAGAATGTGGCATTTTCCTTTATTTTTTTTAAATATTTTATTGCATGTTTATAAGTAAATGTTGTTGTTTTTGTCATTTTTGACATATCCTTGCACATAAAGTTTAAATCTCCATGCTTATTGTTCCTGTGTTCATTTAGTATTCACTTAGGCCTATATTATTTACTTGATTATTTTATTATTTTAAACAAAAGTTTTACTTTTATTTAATTTAATTTTTATTTAAAAATATATCATTTGTAATGTAATGTAATGTAATATAATATATTAATACACAATTGTATCAATTGCTAGATTTTTGCTGGAATTTTAATTATTTTTATTTCAAAATATAAGTAAAACTACTTATATTTTGAAAGAAAAAATAAATAAAATTAACATATTATATTATCCATCCAGATTTTCTCCAAACTGCTTATCATCTGTAAGGTTGCTGGGTATTATATTATATTATATTATATTATATTATATTATATTATATTATATTATTTGGGTATTATATTATATTATATTATATTATATTATATTATATTATATTATATTATATTATATTATATTATATTATATTATATTATATTATATTATAAAATCCAAAAGCTGACAAATGTTGTGAATTTGTCTAGTCCTACTTACCAGCTTTTTAATCTCTTCTGTTCAATATTTAATTTAGATGTGGATGTTTCTCTGCTAACTCTCTGTTCTCTCTGTTTCCTGTTCTATAGAGTATGCTCATAACTGCACCATCATGGGCTGCCAGTACAACTGTTCAGTGACGCTGTTGGGTCCAAAGTGCTACTGCAGGAATGGCTATGAGGTGGGAGAAGATGGAAAGAGATGCAAAGGTGAGCTTTGAATGACTTTGATTTTGTAATTAAGTGATGACTGAAGAAGTATTGAATGAGAAACATGTGGCTTTCTCTGTGTCAGACTTTAACGAGTGTGCAGTGTATGGGACTTGCAGTCAGACATGCACAAACACAGATGGCTCCTACACCTGCAGCTGTGTGGAGGGCTACTTGCCTCAACCAGACAACCGTTCCTGCAAGGCCAAGAACGGTAGGAAATGAACATAGTTTCTGCTGATCCTTGTTCTTTTTTGTCTTGCTCACTGTGTGGTCAAATCCTTTTTGTTTTGTAAGGACCATGTTTTCCCTTCTATGTTTAAGACCCTGTAGATCGGCATCCATACCTCTTCATAGCCAACTCGCAGAACATCCAAGCCACCTCTCTAAGTGGAGCCAATCCCATCTCCATCAACACCAAGCAGACCACTGCTATGGACTTTATCTACGCCCAGGAGACCGTGTGCTGGATCCACATGGGAGACTCCCCTGCAGCCACCCAACTCAAGTGTGCCAAATTCCCCAGTGCCAAGAGCTTTACGGAGGAGAAGACCATCAACATCTCCCTCAGCGTGCACCGTCAGTACCATGTTCTTACTTGTGTGTTTTACATGAATGTCAGTTGTCGGTTTGGGCCAAAAAACATGAACTTGTGAATTTATTTGTTAGGGCCTTCATGGTTGACAAGAAATAATTAGATGAGCTTTCTGTTTTGGGTTGAACCTGTGATTACAGATTTGTGCTGCCAAATTAATAGTTTATCCAGAAGCAGAAGTTGTCATCATTTACAAAAACTAATTTGAGGCCCTTATGACTTACTACTACCATTCAAAAGTTTTTTATTTTTTAAAGAAGTCAAGGTTGCATTTATTTGATCAAAAATACTATAAAACATTCATATTAAAATTATTACAAAATATTACTACAATCTAAATAACTTTTTTATTATTTAAATATATCTTAAAATATTAATGCTGAATTTTCAGTAGCCATTAGTTCAGTCTTCAGTGTCACATGATCCTTCAGGAATCATTCTAATATGCTGATTTGGTGCTCAAGAAACATTATTATTACCAATGCTGAAAACAGTTGTGCTGCTTAAAATCTGTGGATTTTGTGATGAATAGAAATGTCAAAGGAACAGAATTAATTTGAAATATACATCTTTTGTAACAATGTAAAAATCTTTACTGTCAGTTTTGATCAATTTAATGCATCCTTGCTAAATAAAAGTATTGTTGTTGTTTTTTTCCGGGTCAAGTTATTGACCCGAAACTTTAGAAACGGTTGTGTAATTTCTTCAGAAGGAAACATTTTGAGATTCTTTTCCATGTAGTTACAGTAATTGGAAACACATTCAAACTGCCAATTCATTAAAGGGGTCATGAACTGAGAAATCAAAATCAAAACTTCTGACAAGTTTCAGAACTTAAAGTGCCCCTATTATGGGTAATGAAAGGTTAATATTTTGTTTTTGGGAGTCCCCAACAACAGGTTGACAGGCATGTAAGGTCAAAAAACACTTTCATTGTCTTATAATATGCATTTATTTTTACCTTACTTGCTCGACGACTCCCAAATGATTCGCTGAACGATTCATTTTTCCAAACCCCTCCTTTGCGTGACGCTAATCTGCAGTGTTTGGTCCGATTGGTCTCATTTTCATTTCATCATACCTGTGGCCATGTCAACACGTACACAGGTAATTTTATTACACGGGAAGTTTTTCCTTCCGTTTTTAAAAAAATCCCCGTCCACATGTAAACGCAAATGCATGCTATGAAGCACTATCAAGAGAATGCCAAACCAACAGGTGGCTATATAATCTCAACCGTAAAGCCATGTTGGCCAATCAGAAGCCTGAAAAAGTTTCCAGTAGGCGAAGATAACAGGGCATGCTCCGACGTCACAAGCCAAAATCTCTGGTTTCGCTGTCTACACGATAACACTGCAACTGGAGTTTTTGAAAATCTTCACCCTGGCAGGAGTTTTCAAAAATGTTTCAGTGACCTGGTGCAGCGTTTGCGTGTGGACGAATGGCCAAACCACTCTATGATGTAATAGTGTGGATAAACACCGCCTCCACAGAAGAAGATCAGCACCTGCTTCTACATCACTGCCTGTTTATCCCCGCCCCCGATTTGCATGTGTAGTAGGTAAATGACGAGAGAGGCAAACACAGAGTTTACAATCTGCCACGCCTATTCAAAAACAAAGGCAGTTCGTGACCCTTTAAAAAAAAACGTGAGAGTATCCTGAAGTAGTCTATGACTCTTGTGCTGTATACCAAGTGATTGTGTGAGGATCAGACCCAAGATGACCCAAGATGACCCAGACCCAGTCTGATTAATTAATGGATCGTTCAAACCAGTTTTGTTACCTGAATTAAGCAAATTTATTGACAAGATCTGACTCAAAAGAACATTTGTTTGTGAATCAGACATTGTTACTTCTCTTATGAACTGTAATGTACTACAAGGAGAGTTAAAGGAACACAACACTATTTTTGAAAATAGGCTCATTTTCCTACTTCCTTTAGTTAAAACAGTTGAGTTTTACCGTTTTCGAATCCATTCAGCTGATCTCCAGGTCTGGCGGTAGCACTTTTAGCTGCAGCTTAGCATAGATCATTAAATCTGATTAGACCGTTAGCATCTCGCACAAAAATGACCCAAACAATTTTTCATACATATATATATTATACATAAAATACATATATATATTTCATACATAAAATATTAGTGGTGTCAAAATTAGCGCGTTAACGCAGGCGATTAATTTTTTCAGTTTAACGCGTTAAAAATATTTAACGCAATTAACGCAGGGGCGGGGCTAGAGTTGGCCACCCCACTCACAACTGCTGCTTCTGTCACTTTATCTCTTGACAAGAAGTGCATTTATTCAGTCACAGAACGACTGAGAACGAGAGACGTTTCAGACGTGCTCTCCACTTCATTTCAGTGCCAGGCACGAGTCACATGAGCAAATGGTATTGTGCTCGCAGCGCGTGCTCTTCAGTTGCATGCACAAAGGTGCCGGCGCGTGCTGTAGCCTGTATCCTTTCATATCAAAGCGCGAAATAAACTCTGTGCATGCAATGTCGTGGTCAGTTAAGTCATGAAGTTACCAAAAAAGGCGTATTTTCTTGGCCGATTCCGATTTCTGATTTTTTTTGTGTGTGTGTGTGACCTGCCAATACTGACTTTTGCCAATTCCATTTTTTTTCCTAAGAACTATAATTGACTGTATATATAAACAAAAATCTATACTTTTTTCAATGCAAAAAATATATTTACACAATAATAATGTATTAAACATTACAATTCCCCCAATATGGACTAGGTTACAGATATTCTCTATAAAAACATTTACGCTGCAAAATTTAAAATGCATAAATATTTTTATAAAATTAATGTTTTCAATATTTTTTAAACGTACAAATAAGAAATGTTGGGAAAAATGCAATGATACTTTTAAATATGAAACCAAACCCCCAGTAGGTGGCGGCAAATGGCTGTGATGTCATTTAGACATTCATTCAACCGATTCGTTCAAACGGCAGATTCATTCAGAAACGAGGCAAGTGATTCCATTCTTTTATGAATGGATTTCTGAATAATTGACTCACTTGATTCATTCAAAAGCGTGGATTCATTCAGTAACGAAACACCGTTGTGTTGCTTGGAGACACGCAGCAGTTCTGCTGTGGCTTTGATTGGAACTATTTTTGTCAGCAAAATTGAGCAAAAACAGTCAATATTGTGTTTAAAATGTAAGTCACTTAATTTTAACATCTTGCTTATTTAACTACTATTGTATAAAGTCAGTGTCACATTGCAATCACGTTGATATTCGGGTTATCTTGGCCGTGCAATGCTGTGTACCTAAATCATATATTATAATATTTTTTTCTACAGCACTATATGCATCTATAACTTTCTATGAGTGCTGTTGTGCTTATTTGTTTTGATTAATGCACGAGTTTCTCTTACACACTCACTCAGGCTGCGCAAACCTCATCTTGCACGTCATAAATACATTATCAGACTGACCGGCCGGTCACCGATCTGGGCCGATCATGCGGAAAACTGGCTAATTCCGGTCCCTAGCCAGTCGATCGGTGAATCTAATATTTAACAATTGTTACATTGTCCAATTCTTGATTGAACCGTTACCAATCGTTACCTATGCCCATTTCATGAATGAATCATTCTTTTGAGTCTTTGATGAATTGGTTGATCTGTTTGGCAAAACTAGTCTGAATGATTTGTTCACTGACTCATTGATTCAGTGATCCAGTTGTGGTATTTTTCTTACACAAAGCAATCATATAGATTCAGAAAAAGGTAAACATGGTAATTTGCATACAGGAGTCTTAAAGGTACGGTAGCAAGGTTCAAAACGGCCCCATTAAAGAGACATAAACTCTCAGAATGCTTTGTCACTGTCTTTTGACATTGATCTTTGATGACAGCAGATCTCTTCTGTTCTGTTTCACTGTAGGTTTAATGCTGCTAGCACCTACGCCACCAATTATGTAGCTTCAGGCCTTTTACAAAACCCGCCACAAAGCTTCCTCAAAGAGGTCATAAATCAAAGCATCTTCGTTCAATTACACCATGTCCAGAGGCCCTACGCCACCAGGGCTGAGATAATTATATGTTATCAAAGTTCTGATCTCCCTCTAACTGGACCTATAAATCAACACCCTCTGCTCTTCAGTGTGTATAGGACAACTGTTATTACAGCCACATCCCTAATGACTCTATGTGGCCGTTTTGCAGGAAAGGCAGGAGGAATGGAAGGACAGTAGATGGATGAGTCTTTTTAATGAGCCTATATGCTGCAGATATTTGGTTTATGTGATGCTGGGGGTGCTGTGCTGTAATGGTGTTGCATTGACTTATATGGCCCAGTTTCTCACAGGGGGGAGTGATTTATAACTGTTGCATGCCGACCAAATGAGCACTCCAGATGTGACCCGTGACCGCTCTCCCCTGTAAAAAGCCTGAAAACAGAGCAGGATGCGCACACAAACTCATCATCAGTGTGTGAGGAGGGGCAGTGGGTGAGTGGGCGTCCCCACTGTGGCTGATGAACTTGGGTAGTGCATATCAGTTCTCTCTTAGTCATGCTTGAGGGTGTCACGACACTTCATTGTCTCAGGACGTCCTTGCTGCTGGTTGTGTAATAGCCAATTACACAACCAATTAACCAATTAGACAATTAACTTTGTACAAACATTCTTTTGTTTATCCTTCCGTTTGTTCAGTCATTGCTTGTCATACAAATTTTTGTGTGTGTTTGTTTGCACATTATTATATTTCCATCCACTTGTTTGTTTGTCAGTCATTGCTATACATGTTTGTTTAGCTTGTACATTTCTAAATGTATTTGTAGCTTGTAAGTTTTCTAAATGCAAGTTTTTTTAGTTTATGCTTTAGTTGTTTGTTTGATTTATTGTTTGTGTAACATATGTTAGTTTAATTTGTACATTTGTTTGCTCTATACATTATCAAATTTAATTTGGTATATTATTATTGGTTGACCAATATTTTTTTTTTCGTCCAATGTCAATTATAGCAGGGTGACTGATGGCCGATATAAAGCCGTTGGTACACACATTAAAAATAATAATTAAATAATACATGCTGCAATTAAAAATATATTTATTTTACATAATATTTACTAAATCGAAAATGAATTAATATAAACAATAATTTGATTCAAAAAAATAATATATAAAAATATGTATATAAAATAAGATTTATGCTTTAGATGAGAACATCTTGGTTCTGTAATAATGAAATTCTAAAAAGGAAGTAAACACTGTAACCAACAGGCTAATCCAATAGGTCTTTGTGTACTGGGAACTATATTTCCTCTTATGAAGACCTGCTTACACAATTTTTATGTAGAGAACACTGTAAATATGACATAGCGTCCAATTCGATTTACCACCAAAAATGCCAAATATTGGCAGATATAATGGTCTTGCTGATATATATAGGACTTCCACTGACCATTTTTAAATATACGGTTTTTATGACATTATATTACAGGGATAGTTCACCCAAAAATCTAAATTCTGTCATTAATTACTCACCCTCATGTCGTTCCAAACCCGTAAGACCTTTGTTCATCTTCGGAACACAAATTAAGATTTTTTGATGAAATCCAAGAGCTTTCTGACCCTCCATAAACAGCAACGCAACTGACACGTTCAAGGCCCAGAAATGTAGTAAGGACATCAATAAAATAGTCCATGTGACATCAGGGGTTCAACCTTAAATTTATGGAGTGTGATGAATTGTCTGAATGCGCATCAAAGACTGACATGGAAGAGAGGAATTTGAACATCTTTGGGTTTGGAACGACATGAATTATTAATTAAGGGCAGAAATTAAATTTTTAGGTGAAATATACCTTTAAGTGGCTTGACCGTTCATTTCATTTTGTAGGATTATTTGCATAATCTTTGTTTATTATTGGCGCTATTATATGCATTGTTTTAGCAAACATTGTAATAGGATCATTATTTTCCTGTTACTTGATCCATCAATGTTTCATATTCCATGCATCTGAGAAGTACCCTAGCTCTGGCCTTGTTGAAGAGTTGCCCATTCATACGAATCCCACCAGCGTGTCCCAGGCCTCAAAGACACCCAGCGCTTTCTTAAATCTCTTATGTTTCTGTCACTGATATAGTTAAGCTTCACTTTACTGGTAGCTGTAACCTTGTCTTCTCTATCATAGTTACAACTTGATATATTCCTAATCACATGTTGATATCAGTTTCCGCTTACAGTAATTTAGGTCTTGTGAGTAATTTGAAATCTAAGTAGTCTTTACTTTCCCTTCTCCTTTTCCCTTGTGCTACTCCTTTCAAAATCATCTGCAGTTCCTGCCATATTTTCACAACAAATCCCGGTTCATAACCATATGTGGTACCTTTTGCCTTTACTGAGATGTAGTTACAGATGATTAGTTACAGATGTTCTTACCACGTATTGTTTCATACTTTTCCTCTGAAGAAAGGAGGGGGTGAAGAAAGATGAGTAACTCTGGTCGTTTTAGCAGATTTGTACAGGATTAGAATGTCAGGATGAAATGCCCTCTGGAATAACATGTCTTTTACAATTTTGTGCAACAGGTACTGTGGATGTTTGTTTTGCGGAGGGGCGGGGGTTAGTGTGGCCTGGAGGTAGTTTTACATTTCCCGGCAGAGCTTCTGTTTACCGGACTTTGTAGAAATGAGTGTGAGAACAGTTTGTGTCTGGTTTGCACAAGCTCGCTGCACTGGGTTGCACAACAAGGATATATTCCTATGTCTGAGGATCATTAGTGGATGCCTGCAGAAATCCTCCCCCAAATCAGTAACAGGAAGTACGTTGGCAGCTGTTGCAACACCAAGCATCATGGGATGCACCGCAGACCAGCCTGCACAGCTAGAGCTCTGCATGGCCCGCACAGAAAGAGTCTTGTTATAGAAGAGAAAGAGAAACTTAGTATTCACTGAATTACCATTTCAAACTCTTTTCCCAGAATTGAGGATATCTGTATGGCCAAGTCCGGCCTCCCTGTGCAGGGAAAAGGTGTGGTAATGGAGAACGTGTGGAGATGGTTGAGGCATGGAGGTTTTTTTTTACCATAGTGTTTGTAGAGTTTCTGCTGTCAGGTTTTTTTTTTTTTTTTTTTTTTTGGTTTTTTTTTTTTTTTTTTTTTGGCTTGCTGTCTTTTTAATTGTGTTGATTGGAAAAAACACTCTCTGAGTGAATAATCATCTTGTGACAGTGAGTCAGAGTTGGGCTGATACGCACACACACAAATGCATACATATGCAGAGACATGCATAAAACCCATTGGGGCGTATTCATAAAACAAAAGCAGTTTAGTTTCTGCTTAAATCATTTGTACAGTAGTTCTTATGTAACAGTTGCATTTAATTCAATCTTGTTATTTTAAGTCAGAATGGATTAACAATTGATTGATTTAGATAAATATCTTCTGCTTGAGTTTTGTGTGTGGGGTACTTTATGAATTTTGCTCGTACTGTCAGTTAATTTTCATACAGTTAAACTTTGTAAAATTTAGGGCTTTTATTTGGTTGATCTATTTATACAATACCATTCTTTTTTTTCAAGAAATACCTTTATTCAGCAAGGATGCATGAAATTGCTCAAAAGTGACAGTAAATACATCAAATCAGCATATTAAAAAATTAGAATTAGAAATTTTGAAGGATCATGCTGAAAATTCAGCTTTGCCATCACAGGAAACAAATAACATTTTAAAGTAGGTATTATACATTGTTATAATTTTTCACAATAATAATGTTTTACTGTGTTTTTGATCAAATAAGTGCAGCCTTTGGAAGCATAAGTAGGGCTCTATGAAAGCCGTTATATTTTCATCCATTCCATTTCTATCTCCCAAAATATGTTTTATTATTTTCCAAATTCCGTTCTTTCCATTTTCATTTTTCTGGATTTTTTTCCCCCTTTAAATTTTTTCTGGACTCTGTTTTAATGGTTAAATAAAAAATTTAAAAAATAATCAAAAGCATGTCTAATTATTAATAAATCTTGAAACTTACACAATTAAACAGCAATTTTTTTTAATCTAATTCTGTGTTTTCTATTCATTTTCTGGGTTCCATTTTAATGGTTTAATTAAATTGCAATAATCAAAAGCATCTGTAATTAATTGATTTTTTATAAAATATTATATTTTATTTATTTATTCAGAAATACAGTGTTGTGTATTTATGTTTTCCTGTTAAATAAATTCTGGTAAATTATTTCTCTGGTAAATATTCCTTTAAAACTGTTTTAATAATAATTGTATTAGTAGCAGTTGTACTATCATTACGTTAAGTAATATATTTCTGTCACAGTTTCTTCAAGTTAAACCAAACTTTTATTTTGACTGGTTGCGGTGAAGACCTTTATGACGATAGTTTTTCTCAAAAGAAATGGTAAAATGCTCATTAAGTGACTCTCAGAGCAGTTCTAGTGATTGCTCTGTGTGCTCATGTACTCATATATTGAAGCAGCAGATGCCGAAAACACCACTAGCGTTAGTATGTGTAGTAATTCATTCACAAAGAGATGCGCAGAATATGCATGATTCATATTTAAATAGTATTTTTACGGCTTAATATTCACAGACACTAGTCCATATTGTGTTTTGATTTAAATCTACTGTCCTACTTTTGATTTACTCTTCCCTAATTTGACAAATTCCATGACATTTCACATTATTCAGTAAATTCCATTTTTGGAATTTGGACTGGATTCTGCAATAATTCCATCCTCGTTTTCCGCCATGCGGAGATAATAAGGTGCTACATAAGATACTTTCTTTCAGAAACTTTATTCAGGTGCACAAACTTTTTTTTTAACACCATTATAGCTAAGCTATGAATAGCAGAATCTTGTACCAGTGAGATTTCAAAGCACATTAATAACAGCAGTGTGGTTGGTGTTGATGTGTCTAACTATTGTCTTGTTTTCTTGGTTCTCCTTTGATAGTAGCCTGATAATGGGGCTATGTTTAAGTACACTGACAGATACAATCAGATTGTAGCTCTTAAAGCTTTTTTGTAGCTCCTGTTTTCAGTTTCCTCTTTTCCAGTCCTCCCAAGTTTTGCGGTGCAGCATCTTTCTGCTGAGTCAGACAGAAGCTGCAGTTATGACTGACTAGAAATAAAGCAAACTCTGAAAACATCTCTCCCTCTCTTTCCCCCTCCTGTATTCCTCCTCACTCTCTTCCTGTCTTGCTTCTCTCTCACAAACTCAGATGTGGAGCAGATGGCTATTGACTGGCTGACAGGAAACTTCTACTTTGTGGATGATGTGGACGACCGCATTTTTGTGTGCAGTAAAGATGGCTTAACCTGTGTCATCCTGCTGGACCTGGAGCTCTATAACCCTAAAGGAATCGCACTGGACCCAGCCATGGGGTGAGACCCCAAGACCATTATTCCTTAATTCTTGTCTGGACAAACAATATCCAACAATGTCCCTCATGCCACTTTTAGTTCTCTGCAGATGCATCTCAACCATGCCTTTTTGTGACTTCAAAGTCATGTCAAGATTTTGCATCGTACCACAGTATCAGTTCCTACAAGTGTCCATGATTCCTTTTTTCCCCTGTAATGATAGCATATTCACTTCAACTTGCTGTAATTTTGAGATAATAAAATGAATTTGGATTAATTTCCCATAGCTTGTTCAACTCATACTAAAAATAAATATTATAAAAAAATGTAAAATAAAGAAAAAAGTTATTGTTCTATGCATTTATTACAATTTTTTTTTACTTTTATTATGGTAACATTATTATCATAGCAAATTAAGCACATTTATACCCTAAACCTTTAATACTATGATGTGGGGAAAAAAATCTCAATCATATTACTACAAAGAAAGCATAAAAATGAAATATTATTTAATTGTAAAGTAATTAAGTCTGGGTAGTATTTGTTATATTTATTTATAATAATTTATTGTTATATATATGATTTTGAGGGTTAAATATTCTTAAATAAATAACTGAGTCTGGACAGGATGAATCTAAATAGAATAAAGAGTGTTATAAAACTGCAAAAAACAAATAAACATCCAGATGCATTGTAATAGTAAAAATTGAGAAATGAAAATTTTCACACAAACCAAAATCCTAATTGTTCTAAATATGAAAGTTCATCATGTGTGAAAATAATAAAATTTATTTATTAATTTATTACTTTTGCAGTTAATTGTATATCGTAAAGTTCTTCTTTTCTTCTTTTCCAGGAAAGTGTTCTTCACAGACTACGGCCAAATCCCGAAGGTAGAGCGCTGTGATATGGACGGCCAGAACCGCACCAAACTGGTAGACAGTAAAATCGTCTTCCCTCACGGCATCACTCTGGACTTGGTCAGCAAGCTGGTGTACTGGGCTGACGCTTACCTGGATTACATTGAGGTGGTGGACTACGAAGGCAAGAACCGGCACACCATCATTCAGGGATTGCTGGTACGCGTGAAGTGTCACATGCACATTTGTGGATATCAAACATGTACATACTGTTAGAGATTTATTTGTTTGGAGCCATGAACTCTATCTCAGGATGTCACTTGCATTGACGTCATCACTCTTGAATTTCTGGAACTGAGAACATCACATGATCAGCAAGACTGAAAGATCAGCATTAGCACATCCAAAACCTGCTGCAGCAGTGCAAACTGAGCATTGTGCAAGTCAACAGTGTCACACTTTTTTTTGCTTCTTAAAACATTCAGTCCTTTAGTTTACATTCAGCGTATTGCAAAAATAATCACTGGATTGTTCAAACTTGCACGGTTCAAAATCAATATCTGATGTTGCAATACTTTTGCATAGGGATGCACATTATATAACCGTAACATCAGTTAAGTTATTTTTTTAAAATAATTATAATGTAATAACAAATCAAAATGATCTCAGACTGTACATCTAAATTGTTGTGATGCCTAAATTCACTTGTAGCATTTATAAGAATTGATTTTTAATGTTTTGTTTCTGTTTGTTTTTATTTATTTAGTTACAGAAAATAGTATGTGTCATTGGTTCTCAACCAGCAAACTTCCAAGGGGACCTTAAAAGTCACATCTGTATTTTCAGTTATTGCTGGGATCATGCCAGAGTCCAGTCTCTCTTAAACATATTTTATTAAATTGTGCTGGTTTAAGTTCTTTTAGGAAATTATTACTCCACAGATATTTTTTTATATATAACAGAGTCAACCCTGAATCCATTTTACAGGTTTTATCTAAAGCAATCATTAAAAACTGGATATAGTGTTTTAAATAACTCTTTTATACTTTTTGTTATTTTAATTCACCTCCTCAACAGCCGTTTTTTTTGTTTTTTGGAGAGCCGAGAATCTCACAGTCTTTGAAAACTGGGAAATATGAGGATGTCTCATTAGTGTGAATTTTAGAACTGTAAAAGTCATGTAAATTGAGTAAATAGGTCATTGAAATTGAGTTAAACACGGATCCTTGATTTGGACAAGGTGAGGCCTTTAAGTCAAAGAGGTTGATAACCACTTGTATAGGTGATCTTTCTCGCCAATATATTGATCTATCATTTTAACACCGTGCATCAGATGGCAAACAGTGTATACTCTGTCACACACTTTATTCACAGTGGCTCTATTTTTATGCTTTTTTTTCTTTGTTTTGGCAGATTGAACATCTCTATGGTCTAACAGTGTTTGAAAACTATCTGTATGCCACCAACTCTGACAATGCCAACATGCAGCCCAAAACCAGTGTGATCAGAGTCAACAGATTCAACAGTTCTGACTTCCAGGTGGTGACACGCGTAGATAAGGGTGGCGCCCTTCACGTTTACCACCAGAGACGTCAACCTGCAGGTACGACTGTGGGATTTAGTTTTAAAATGTTTCTAAATGTTCAGCAAGTGCTCAAGCATTATAATTGTAAGGCAGCATGACTCGGTACTATTCATTGTGGTTTCCCCACTAGTCCCTTATGTTAAAATTAGGCTTTTGTGTTTGTTCTTACAGTCCGCAGTCACGCATGTGCTCCGGATCAGTTTGGGAAGCCAGGCGGCTGCTCTGATATCTGCCTGCTGGGTAACAGTCACAAGAGCCGAACGTGCCGCTGCCGTTCTGGTTTTAGCCTGGGCAGTGATGGAAAGTCCTGCAAGAGTGAGTAAAATCTCAATCCAGCCTGCTCAACCAGTTTCAAACAGTGTTACACAACAGCATTCCCCATTATAGGGTTTTCTTGCATATAATATATCACGTTTTTCTCCTCAGAACCAGAGCATGAGCTCTTCCTGGTGTACGGTAAAGGCCGGCCTGGTGTCATCCGTGGTATGGACATGCATGCCAGGGTGTATGATGAGCACATCATCCCCATCGAGAACCTGAATAACCCAAGAGCCCTGGACTTCCACACTGAGACAGAATTCATCTATTTCGCTGATGCCACCAGCTACATCATCGGCCGCCAGAAGATTGATGGCACTGAGAGAGACATCATAGTGAAGGATGGTGAGTGCAGAATGATGCTGGGATGGATTTTGTTGGAGTGACATTGAAGGTGGATTAATTAGATGGACAACTCCTGTAAAGAATTGTTAAGCTCTTAGGTGCTACTTAATACCCGGTGGCAACCACCAAAAATTGTCCGGTCAGAACAATAAAGTTATGTCAGTTGGAGGAGTTAGCAGCACACACCACTCACAGACCACTCGTTTCAGAATTTGAACAGCTTACTTGAGTGTGGTTCTAGAAATAAAAACTACAAGAATAAAGTATAAGTTTACATTAAAGAACATCCAGTAGTGTATAAAGTACCTGAAAGCCATACTCAAGTAAAAGTACAGATATCTTACCAGAAAATGACTGGTAGAAGTTGAAGTCACCGTTTAGAATATTACTTGATTTTAATCTTTTAAAATTTTAAAAGATTAAAATTATGTGATATTTATTGTACTTAAGTACTTAAGTATTTTTTTTTATTTTTTTTATTTATTTATTTTTTTTTATCTTAATGACTGGTAGAAGTTGAAGTCACCGTTTAGAATATTACTTGATTAAAAGTCTTAAAGTATGTGATATTTATTGTACTTAAGTACTTAAGTATTTTTTTTTATTTTTTATTTTTTTTTATTTTTTTTTATCTTAAATGTACTTAAGTATTGAAAGTAAAAGTACAAGTAAATGCAAAATGGAAAAGAAGCAAATAAATATATATAAAAATGTTCACACAGCTTGAGTAGCAAGATTGTGTTCAGTTTTAACTCTTTCTTCCATTTTGTATTTTTGGGTAAGAATAAGAAGCACTTCATCCGGTAATTAGTGTCTTTCATTCCAACATAAGAAAACATTTCTGGAATCTGCATCTGAAGTGGCATTTAGATGTATTTACACAGTTTATGTATCTCAGAGGGGACATTGATGCATTTAAACTGCAGTTACAGATGCATAAATAGGCCTAATGTTTTGTTTTTAACATAAAACATTGAATACTGATATTTGAAATAATTTGAAACATGAAAAAATAGTCTAAATGTGAAATTAAAACCGCCAGTAGGTGACAGCAAGTGACTGTTAACCAGTGAGTCATTGAGATTCAACCGATTCATTCAAACGACTGATTCATTCAGAAACAAAGCATTTGACTGTTAATGAGTGAATCACTGAATCATTTATTCAACCGATTAGTTCAAAAAGCTGATTCATTCAATAAGTAAACACCGTCCATTGCTCAGAGACACAAAACAGTGCTGTGTGTTTGGAACTATTTTCTTTGGCAAAATTGAGCAAAAACAAGCAATATTATGTCTAAAAT